TTTGCAGAGTGGCAATAAATGACTCAATTGATTGAGTTTCACTTTGCGTTCTTCGTTGAAGTTTATCTTCAATAGCCTGCAACTTATCAGAAACAACAAGCAATAGTTGAATAATAGCATTATTTTATTTTACAATAGAGCTTAAAGAAGATGCACTGTTTTGTCTGGCGTCAGCAGGATTGAGAAATCCTAAAGCCGGAGGTTCAAGTGAATCAGTAGCTTGTAAAGCTGTTTTATAGTCACTATTGTTTGAAGACAGTCTCCAATTGTTCATTCACTATAAATTGAAGATTTCAAACTTAAATATGTCAGAAAAATTGTGTTCTGAGTTCACCTTTCAAGAATTCTTCATATCAATCTATAAGTTTGTTGCTAAGATTTTTTTAATCATTAATTATTATTTAAAAACCTTTAATCTATATATATGGCTCATTCTCGATGCATTGTGCAATTGTAAGGTTGAACAGGGCTGAACAGGGCTTATCAGGGCTTATCAGGGTAACATTGAAACTCCAACCATATATATATATTAAAAGTTTTTAAATAATAATTAATGATTAACAAAATCTGAGTTCACCTTTCAAGAATTCTTCATATCAATCTATAAGTTTGTTGCTAAGATTTTGTTAATCATTAATTATTATTTAAAAACTTTTAATATATATATATGGTTGGAGTTTCAATGTTACCCTGATAAGCCCTGATAAGCCCTGTTCAGCCCTGTTCAACCTTACAATTGCACAATGCATCGAGAATGAGCCATATATATAGATTAAAGGTTTTTAAATAATAATTAATGATTAAAAAAATCTTAGCAACAAACTTATAGATTGATATGAAGAATTCTTGAAAGGTGAACTCAGAACACAATTTTTCTGACATATTTAAGTTTGAAATCTTCAATTTATAGTGAATGAACAATTGGAGACTGTCTTCAAACAATAGTGACTATAAAACAGCTTTACAAGCTACTGATTCACTTGAACCTCCGGCTTTAGGATATCTCAATCCTGCTGACGCCAGACAAAGCAGCTCATCTGCTTTAAGCTCTATTATGAAACAAAATAATATCATTATTCAACTATTGCTTGTTGTTTCTGATAAGTTATAGACTATTGGCGATAAACTTCAACGAAGAACGCAAAGTGAAACTCAATCAATTGAGTCATCTATTGGCACTCTGCAAAAGCAACCTCAGAATCTTTCCATTGACGGTCCTTCAGCTCCACATGAAATATCTAAGCCTAAAGGATCTCTCTTTGTTTTTCAAAATCCCAACAAAAATTTCTTGAAAGAAAAACAAAAACTCCCCTAATGGCATCCACATCCTGAACATCCACTATACTCCAACCTAATCCATCCGTACGAAATTCCAACCTACCTTCCACCTCATCACCCACTATTGATGATCAAATCTGAGGATATCGGATGAGATCACGTATTGCTTATGAACTGCAGCGAAGGCTATCAAGACGAAATTTCTATCAACATACTCTTGAAAGTCAGCTTAACCCGGAAGCTGAACTAGTGATTTCACAACAACGATGTGCAAATCTTGTACCCGCTGAGACCCTCTATGAAGATGGTTGGACTACTGCAAGCATAGAGTATATCAACACTGCTCACGAATTCTGGCTACAGAGGGTGAACAAGTAAATTTATCTTTTATTAGGCAAGAGTTGTATCAGCGACTAATACGCGAAGGTATGCAGCATATCCACCTCGGACTAATGAAGATGCTGGAACTACTGCATTAATTGTACTAAGAGACACCAGATAGCGATCTGATGTTTCAATCATTGGAACAATGGAGGTAGATCTGTTATTCGGAACACGGTGTATATTACACCAAATCTGATGATGTCTATCTATGACTTTATGCACCACATAGAACTTGTAATTATGACTCATGGATATGAAGAATGGAAGGAAGGTGAATCAAACCTCTTGATTATCAGGGCTCTTGTTGCAAGATTAATAAATATCAGTCACACCGGTTTCAGGTATAACGTATCTGGTATTGTTGATTACCTTTCTTCTCATGAAATTACTGCAATTCCAGGAGAAAGGCATACTATTACACAATTACAAGGGTTAGCATGGAACCTAAAACCCTATGACCAACCCACTGTCCAAATTCCACATCAATTACAAACCCATCAACGGATTGACGGTGCTCTCTGTCTTTCTTTCTCAGGTTATACCACAAATAAACCACCTGCTATTGCTCACCATTCCACAAATGATACAGAAAGCCCTGAACCAGAAAACCATGACGAACTAATTTTCATGGCTTATGAAGATGGTCATATTTGGGACTATGATCTCAATACAGAAGGCGATGAAAACATTCCTATTTGAGATAATTCTGAAAAGGAAGACTCTAATGATAACTTTTCTTTATTTTTATACATGAATTTATGTAATAATGAAATTTAAAAAATTTCCCCGAAACGTGGCGAGGAGAACAATTATTCTGAAACCTTTGATTCTGAAAAGTTTGATTACCTCATTTTAAGACCACCACCTGAAACTCCACCTTCATCAGAACCTGAGTCACAATCTCAATTCTGTTATATTTCCATAGAAGATCAGTTAGCTGATCTTGATTATCCAAAATTAAAAAAGATGGCATCTAAAGCTGATAGTTTGTATGCATCTGTCTCATCTTCCCCTTACCCACCACCAAATGAACCAATTATGGGTCCAGTTATGTATCACCCTATAACCACCACTAGTTCTTAGGTTGGACCTTCATCATCATCCAGTCAATTTCAGAAATTCAGACCTTCATCATCATCATCCAGTCAATTTCAGAAATTCAAAATAAAGTCATCTGACTTCAAAAGAACTTATCAGCAAAATATGTGGACTCTCCCATCGGCCCACAATTCTCAAGGAGTTCTGTTAATTTTACCTGATGATTTTTCTTTGTATAACGATGTGATATCCAGATAGAAATCAATTACTCTTAAACTGATTAATAATAAACAGTTTCAAGATAATAAGGCGAAGGTGTTGTTTATTGAAAATCTACTCGACGAAGTAGAAAAAAAAGTATGGATCCAGTGGCGAATGGCATTTGAGGATGAATACAAAGCCCTCGTTAACATAGCCGATGATCAACAAAATGCATTGTCACGGATTCGAAGGATAATTCTAATGGAAGATCTGTATCAAGGATCACCGGAAGAACAAAATTAACAAAATCGTGCGTATCTTGATTTGGAACGATTATCTTGTAACCAAATTAAGAATCTGTTCGATTACATGAACGACTACAAAGTTCTTGCGGCTAAGTCTGGCCGTATGTTTATAAATCCTGAACTTTTTGATAAATTTTTCAGGAAAATGCCCCTATACTGGGAAATGAAATTGAAGAAGCATTTAAAGCAAAGTACCCAGGTAATACAATCGGTGTCCTTCCAAGAATACGATTTACTTACCAATACATCTCAGACCTATGCAAAAAGGCAGCAATATAGAGAGGAATCAAAGACCTCTCAATCTGCAGAAAAATATCAGTACATGGCTACTACAACAATCAGAATAAATACGACCTCAAAAAATTGAAGAATTACAAAGAAAAACCGCATGACACCCACTTGCGGGTTATAAAGAATAAAAACAAGCCGAGGTCTTCAAAGTGCAGATGCTATACTGCGGAGAGGAAGGGCATTTCGCAAGGGAATACAAGAACAAAAAGGGAAATTTGGCGAGAGCAGCCATATTGAGTAACCTAGATCTACCAAATGATTACGATGTGCTATCCGTAGATCTGGATGAAGAGTAATCTAATGCTATCTTGTAGCATCTCTGAGGGAGGAGTAAATATCCTAGCCCATGTTCGACACGCATTAGAGAACTTACCAACAGAAGAATATGGTTTCATGATGAAAGAAGATTTTGGGTGGCGTTGTGCCAACAAGTTCTTTCAATAGTGGGTGATGGAAGGGAAGCTAGGTTGGAATTTCGTACGGATGGATTAGGTTGGAGTATAGTGGATGTTTGGGATGTCGGACTTCAAGTTTATTTCTTGTGTGTCTGCAAACTTCTGATACAAGACTATTTAAAGAGAAAACGCATCGAGTTCAACCGACAGTGGTTGAGGATAATAATGCGTTAGGTACATCAGATAAGAATAAAGTGAACCCCACTACACCGAAAGCGGGTTCACGGGTGGAATAAAGCTAAAGTTCTCGTGCAAAAGGACAGATTCCTTAGCACGTTATTATCATAAAGCAAGCACTCACACATAAAAATACATAGTGGTGAGTCAGTATGGTCCCACCATTAATTATGAAGGCTAAATCACCCATTACAATGAGTAAAACTAAGTTACAAATAACCAAATTTGGCCCATTGTCAAGCTTTTTTATTCCTCGTCATTTTTGCCCAAATATTGCAACATTTAATTTCATTTTTTTATTAATTTTAATGTATAAGGATAGAATGATTTCATCATTAATTTAAGATTTTTTTCCTTTTGATCCAAGTTGATTGCTGATGGTGGATTCCTCCCAATTGATCCAAGTTGAGTATGTGGACCACCTCAAACTGTGAATAAGGAACTACTCTTCCTTCACCCTTTCATTCGTTAAAAGGATATTTTACACCTTAATTTATCATTTAACTTTCTTCAAGATCTCTCAATTGCAATCCCTATGCCTTAAAATCCATAATATGTCATAAACCCAAGCCTCCTTGTCCAAATGAGATAGAACAATCACATAAAGCCCTCCATCACATGGAAATTTTATCCCTATTTACGCACTGCCCCCACATTCTCTTTAGGTTTAGATTGCCTTTTTGAATATAAAAACAATGTGTGTGATAAGCCTTTAAGAACGATATAAATCAAACAAACTTCCTTATAAAAAGATATACCATAGAAATTAAAATAAGGTGAAGCTTAAAAAGTTGAATTCAACATGTCATTTGAAGCAAAAAAATCAGGAAAGAAAAAAAAAATTACAAATAAGATACATGTCATTACTCACCATCAACTCAAGCCTCTTAACTTCTAAAGATTGACATATAGCCTTTTCTTGCTCTAGCTTGCATTCTTTTTCAGCATGTTCTTTACTAAGATTTGCCATTTCCAAGTTTATCTGAAGCTCCTTCAAAAGTGCATTAGTCTCGCCAACCTTAAGCATATTTTCAATTGTTTCTCTGAAAACATATAGAAGGAAAGAAAATGACAAATAAGGTGCCTGGGATATAATTAGAGCAACATTCTCAGTAGAAAGAATAATAGTTAAACATCAATTGTTTGCAGTAGTGGAAAATGCTGCAAACTAGTTGTACACAAAAAAAAAAAAATGAAAAATAAAAGGCTATAACATACTTCTGCAACTGAGCACATTTTCTTGGTATGTCATCATAACATGACACATCAGGTATCTGATTCAGCAATGATTTCCAAATTGTTAATTCAGAATCCAAAGTCTGAGCATGTACTTGAATTTCTTGTAGTCGGTTAAGCTCCAATTCTGCCTTTTCCCTGCGCTCCTTTTCCTCCAATAACTGCTCTATCAATAATTCTTTATTCATATGTGAAGATTTCAATTGTCTAGCCTCTTTTAATTCAGCCTCCTAGAAGAAAACAATAATATATGAAAAAAATCAACCATATATGAAAAGCTTATCAGCTAAAATTAGGTGTGGTATATAACCCAGAACAAAAATTGACAAAAGCAAAAAAGGAAAATGGCAAAACAAAAGTTGTCCTATGAGCTAGAGAAATTGAGAGCAAATAAGATGGCAATGACATGAGATGTCATGGACATCAACGCCAGCCCACAGAGTCAGCAACAAAAAATAAGAAAACCCTCATCAGGGCCAAGAAACACAAAAGCCCAAAAACGAGACCCAAGATAAAAACAGCCAAATCTGCATCTATAGATCACATCCACAAGAGACAGAACTGAGATGACCATGAGAGAAACCCCGCAGAGGAAGAGAAAAAGGAAGCTACACAGAAGGGCGAGATGTGAGTGACTGCGATTGCCAGGTTTGCAAGAGAAACAAAAAATGCATGCGTGTGGTTTTGCATTGATGGTAGTGACTAGGTACAGACAAAACCTTTCGCTTCGACAATGCGCCTCAGATCAAAAGCCACTACACTCATCTCCACAATAGTTTTTCTCACATCATCTTTGTCTTCTACCTGTCGTCAAAATGAGGTCGTTTCTACCTTAGACCTCAAAATTCTCGCTCGGGAGTCTTTCGCCTTCTTCTTCCTTCGGCTTGCTAATGCCAGTCTGCACGTAGCGAACATAAGGATCGCTTGATTCCTTCTTTCACTCGGCTTCGATCCTCTTCCTTTATCCTTGGCTAGCACACGGGATTCCCTCACATGCAAAGCTATTTGATATGTTTTTTTTTCCTTCATTTTCTTCAACCGCTGCTTCTTCTTCTATACATGTTGTTGCTTCTTCTTCTTCTGTCGTTGCTTCTTCACCTTCCATTTCATTCTCTCTGTTTGATTGCTTCTAATGGGACGCCATTTTATAACAAACTTGTTGAGGCATTTCGTTCTCCCACGAAACAACAAAATTAGTTGAATTTTTTTTATAATAATATCCTTAATTATTTATTTATTTCTTTATTTATCGGTTATTAGATTATTTATGTATTCGCTAACATGGATCGCATTACCAACTCTTAACGCCCGATTCACAGGGCTCACTTTTTGACAAAATAGTTGTATTTTTTTTACAGTCATAATTTATGGGCAACAAAAGTTTTTATTAATTCATCACAAGTCATCAATTAATCTAAACCTAAATCGTCATCTTCTATGTTACTTTGAATTTACAATGAAGTGTTACAATTTTGATATTATTAAAAGTGCCAACTTACTTGAAGTAGAAACATACACTACTCATTATTGAAAATTTTTCTCAAAATTAAAAGTATTTTCCATTATTATGCTTTCATTTTAATTCTGTTTTCTTGCCCAATTTTCTATGAAAAATAGGACAAACGATCTCAAATACAAACAAATTAGGAATGACCGGGCATTATCTATGCATCGTAATCCAATTCATGTGTGTTTGGCACAAGTAGCTCCTTCCATACAAAAGAATAATTTACTCATCTTTCATGTAAGAAAAAAGATATCCTTAGCCCAGTTGCCTGTACCAAGAATTATAGCTACAGCTACGCTTGATACTTGCTGAAAGGTATACTACAATAATAAAAGATTTAAGATCATTATTCAAGATTAGAATGTCTTTATAATAAGACAAAACACATAAAATAACTTTCCGATAATTTCTGATCAATATTAGACACAGAAAAAAACAATCCAATAATACGTTTGAAGTCTAATGACGGTTGAGAAACTCACAGCCTTCCGAAGTTCATCCTTTAGATGCTTCACCAAAGTGGGGCTCTCTGAGGAGCTGGCTGTCACCAGTGGTGAATCACAACTTGATAACTTGCACTCTAGTTGACTCTTCTCATGTAGACACTGTTAACAATATGGTTTGAGCACATTACACTAGAAATACTATAACATTATAGAGCTACCTTGATTATCCTAATGCAAAAATAAGAATTCTAAAATCTTTTCTGAACAAAATAACATAAAAATTAGCTGAAATCACAGAATCAGATGCAACTGAAATTATAACAATGGGTCGCAGAAATGGTAGTCATGGCAACTGTGAAACTGCAAAAATTACAGAATAAATAATAGCATTATGGTAAATACATAAAAGCTTTTCACCTCATTCAGTTGTTCTTTTAAATCCACTAAAGTCTTTTTCAGTAGTTCTGCTTCTTTTTCAAAGCTATCAGCTCGGACTCTCATTCTTTCAAGCTGAAAGAAGAAATAAATTCAATAGATCCAAAATAAAAAATCATTCAAATATGTTTAACCTGATTAACCTCAGCATTGACCCTTGACAGAGACAGCTTTGATTCATCTTGCAAATGTGAGAAAGATAAATGTAGACGATTTTTCTCCCTTTCATTATTCTGAGAAACCAGAAGAAGTTCCTTTTCAACAGCTGATGCTTTTTCTTTTGCTGTCTCAGCTGACAATTCAGCATTTTTACGAACTTCAACTTCCTTCTTCAGCAGTATCTGGTAATCAAAGACAGGCAAAACAGCGTTATCACATGTAAGACGCCAAAACACAAAACCCTAACACAAGCAATGCCTTATAATACATAGTGAACAGAGTTTTGGAAATGCAACAATTAACAAGTCCATTCGACAAAAAAACAAATCTGGATATTAAAATGTTCACATCACTAATAAAGTATGCTTTCCCCTTATTTCAATAGGGAAAAAAAAGGTGGCACAGATTTTACAAACTCAATGCAGGAACAAGTGAAATAACATGCAATTGTCTCCTACTCCTCCCTGTGCTTCTAGTTGGTCATCGGCTTCCTGCATCTCTAGGAGGCCGCCGTCTTCCTTCCGGCACTTTCAGTTGGCCACGGGTTCCTCCTTGCATCTCCCTACTGTTTTTTTTATTTTTATTTTTTCAAATCTTGATTGTATCCCTTGTTAAATACTTAATAATAATTGCTATGCGTCGTCGTGGGTTGAATTAACTTTGGTATTAGAAAGAGCCACTAAAAAAAGTAAATTAAAGCAATAGAGTTAAATTAACCTCATTTTTTATTGTCTGTGTCTGCAATAAACACTTTCTCTTTTATTGTTCAGCTTTTAATCAAATAGTTAAACCGAAAATGTAAGTTTAAATCAATAGTAAACTAACCATAGATAGTGAATACTTGTATTCCTAAACTATAATAACACAATGAAATGAAAATAATACGCATGCTAACTAAACTTTATGTAAATCAATCATAAGAGTGTTTGAAGGTTTTATTTTGTTTTCTAAAATAATTTTTGTCTAATATGATCATCAAAAGCCTTAACTTTGTGGGGTCGGCTACATGAATCCTTTTTCTCCATTGCTAAATTTGTCTAATATGATCATTCAAGAATATTTTAAACATGCACTGTCTTATTGTATTGTTTACATATCAATATTTTTTAATTTGTAAACAACCATCACAGAAGTACCGTCTAAACTAGTACCAATTAAGGTATATCAATATAAATATTCTTTATCATTTACGTGCACGGTACTTTAGCGTTTCCCTACTAATACTACAAAAGGGTGAACTACATCATAGTCAAGCATACAAATACAATCAATTTATGAAGTTCATGTCATTCGTATGTGTATTACATTCAATTCAATATATTATGCATACATAATGCAAAATATTAGTTATCGCTAAAATATAAAATCATCACAATAATATGACCAATAAAAAAGAGCATATAATCAGAATAAAAGTTGAAAATTGAATTTATAGGTAGCAATAACTATCAATTCAATTGATTAAAAAAATAAAAATTCTACCACATATCAAAAGAAAGAGTACTCACCACAAACTTAGAAGATCTCCTAGCTTAATTGTTCTATCAACTTTTCTCCGACAGAAAATCTATAATCATATAAAGTATTCTTGTTACATTATGATAAGTGAATCTTGTTATTCTAATTAAAATGTCTTAAAAATTAATTTCTTCCATTTTTTTAAGGTAATATAAATTGAATCATTTTTCGTTTTAAATAAAACCAAACGTATTAATTATTCTTTAACTACATAAACTTATTATTAATTTCATAATTCTTAGAATTGAAAATTAATTTCTTTTTTTATGCTATTACATTTATACCATTACATATTTATCGATGAAATGTTATAGCATAAAGGTTGAATTTACGATAAAATGATAAGTTAAATACAAACAAAATCTAACATGTGAGCTCCTTGCTACTTGAGCTTGACTTTGAGACTTCTGCTCCAATTGGTGCTTCGAAATCCACATGAAACCCACACGAGAAAGCCTTTATGCTCAATAAAACCTTTGGCTTCGACAACACACCCAAGATCAAATGCCCCTGCACTCATCTCCACCCTAGTTTTTCCCACATCATCTTCGTCTTCTCCTGTCATCAAAATGAGCATGCTCGTTTCTACTCTAGATTTAAAAATTCTCGCTTGGGAGTCTTTTGTCCTCTTCTTCCTCTTTCACTCTTTGGCTTGCTAATGCCAGCCTGCACGTCGCGAATATAAGGATCGCTTAATTCCTTCTTTCACTTGGATTCGATCTTCCTCCTCTATCCTTGGCTAGGGCACAGGATTCCATCGCATTGTAATAAAAGAAATACCAAAACATAAGCCCTAACACAAGCAATGTCTAATAATACATAGTGAACATAACTTTGGAAATGCAACAATTAACAAGTCCATTTGATAAAAAACAAATCCGGATATTAAAATGTTCACATAAACACTATTAAAATATGCTTTTCCCTTATTTCAATAGCAAAAAAAAGGTGGCACAGTTTTTACAAACTCAATGCAGGAATAAGTGAAATAACATGCAATTTTGTATGTTAGCTTGGTTGAACTTAAAACCTTTGGATTGCTGCCAATCAAAGCAGTATAGACATAGTTCTGTCAAGAAAAATATTCACTTTAAAAAAGATAGAAGTTTACTTGTTTGCATATTAAAGTTCATAAATTAATTCAATCATTAGCAAAAAATTAAATCAATTATTTCTTAAAAAAGAATTTTGTGATTCAATAAGACGCTTCAATATAGTTAGTTTCTAAGCAACCCTGATGCTGAACTAGCTCAATAAACTTGCTCAATCAGGGCTCAATTACATGCTCTTTTGTATTTTGAATGGTTCAACCAAGTTGCTTAGGTAATAACACTAGCCTTATTTCTGTATGAAATGAATATTATCAATAGATTTTTCCACTTCGCTGAGATAGATAGAGAGAGAGAGAGAGAGAGAGAGAGAGAGAAAATAATATAATATAATAAATTTGTAGTAATGTGGTTGGGGAATGCCTAAATAAACTAATGGCCAATCATAGCAACCCAACAAACAGCTAATATTCTAAAAAAGTTAAATAGGCTAATAAGAGCAGTATTCTCAAAACGAAGAAAGTGTCGGTAATACTAGATCCTACTATTATGATGTCAGAAAATATAATGCAACTACAAATGAGAAAAATAATAATATAAATGATCAAGAAAATGCAGTCTTTTATTGAAATAACAGCACCAATTATACCACTTGCATTAACAACAGCCACACAAATAGGTTTAAGTGTCAATGTCGGTGCTAACATCAGTGTGGCAACAAATAAATACTGGAAATTATTTTAGAGTTTAAAAATCACCTCTATTTAAAGGACTAGCGGCTAAAGCTGCTAAGGATTGGATTACCAAAACTGAGAAGAGCTTGAATGGGATTAAATGTCCACTGAAAGATGAATTTTTCTAGCAATTTTTGTAATGGCAGAATGTTGCTGGAGAGGCTCATTAAAAAAAAAAATTAGACATATCTAAGAAATTGATCAGTTAAAAAAAATTTGAACAAGCCATTAGAGACTAGTATGTTTCTCCTTTTATAAGGCAAGTAATGCTGAAGATTTCTGTGATCTGCACAATGATTGAAGACTGCAATTGAATATAATGCATAATTTACATTATTATCGAGATGAGCACCACTGCTTAGTGGTGAAAATTACTTAGATTTCTTAGAGGACTGAGATCAGTTAAGACAGCCTTTGATTCCACTTCTCATGAAAGATTAACTGAGTTAGTAAAGAGTGTTAAAATCCTAGAATAGGATATAGAGATAGTGAGACAAAAATGATAAAATAAGAAAAGAGATTAATTTAAAAAGTAGAGCTTTATTTAGGAATAGCAGCAGCAACAATAAGGACATCAATATTTAATAACTTGTGCCAAATGTGGAAAATTGTATTTAGAGAAATATTTTCTAAACGTCAGAAAATTTTAATTATGCTGAGAGATGAATTATCCTAAAAATGTTCAAGAAGGTAGCGTGCTAAAATATCTCCAAAAGACAAAATAGCATAGAGCTGTAAACCCTATGATAAATAAACTAACATTGAACGTAAAGGGAGAAGTATTTGGAGAAAATATAAAATATGTACCCGCACGAGTTTTGACTTCAACATCTCAAGAAGCTAAAGATTTTTTAAAATTTATGATAAGTATGATAACCCTTTCAGATATTTTTGTTATAGTGTTTTCTTATTCTAATGAATCGCACATTTTTATATCAAGGATATTACTCGATTCAGATATTCTTGTTATAGTGTTTTCTTATTCTAATGAATCGCACATTTTTATATCTAGGATATTATTCGATAAATTGCATTTGGAACATGTTTATTTCACTCTACATGTAAGAATTATGCAACTTTCTAGTTGTTAGCTAGTACTACATATTCTGTTGATATTATTATAGTTGGTAGAACATTCAGATATGAATTGATCCTAAAACCTTTAACTAAATTTATAGTGATTTTAAGCAAGGACTAATTAGTAAAATATTACGTCACGAATGAATATTCGAAGAAAAAAGTTCAATTTAATTTTCCTAATGATAAGAATTTTACTTTCAATGAGAGAATAAAGTGATGTTATCTCTATCAATTACTCAAAATACATAAAGGCATCAAAGATGCAAATAGCGATATAAATGATATTCCAATGATGAATGAGTTTGCTGATATTTTTCTTGAGGGATTTGCTAGTTTTCCATTAAATAAGAAAGTGGAGTTTACAATTAAAATTCAACAAGGAATGACACCTATTAAGAAAACACTTTGAAGAATTATCATTAAAAATTTACAAGAATTGAAAAGTTAATTATCAAAGTTGATAAAAGAACAATTTCAATAGAAACGATACATTCTCAAGAAATGCGCCTGTTAGTTTGTTAAAAATAATGGCGGCTCGAAGCTGACTGTACATTGACTGCAATAAGTTAAATAAAATGACTACCAAAAATAACTATCTCCCTAGAAATGATGATTAGTTGGATCAAGAAAGCTTCTCTATTTTAAAAATCAATTTAAGATCAAGATACCAATTTAAAGTTAAAGAGTAATTGTGAGAAAATAATATTTAGCACCGAATATGAGCATCATGAATTTTTGTTTATCTTCTCCTTTTCTTCTTCTATTCTTTCCTGGTTTTCTTTCCTCTGAGGCTGCTCTCGT